TTAAACTATTAGCTTTAGGCAAGCTGTATTAACCATAGAATTGGAAATGATATCTTGGCTAAGTTACGCACTAGTTACACTAATGACCTTGACTTCTGACACTGTATAGTGCTGTTGTCTTCTATTGTAAGATGTCTACAGCTAATGTTTCATGTCCGCATAAAATGAAAAAAAATAAATAAAAAGATAGTATATCGTTTACTGTACATGTCTTGATGTATAGATGAAAGTTGAATGCTTTTACTCTGGGCATATTATTTGTTTTGCGTGTGACGTTCACTTATAGTGATGAACCAGCAGCAAAAACCCCTACGATGAACTGCTCACAAACAATACAGTAGTACCAACCATTTATAGGCGATTTTTACAGGAAAATTGAAAAGGCGCTTATTTCAGCCTTTTTGATACAGATCATTATATTTAATGTCAACCATGTGTCCGTCACAAGTACTGGGTAGACATTAGACAAGCACTTAGCGGGTACATGGTGAAAATAAAGTGGGTACTTTAAGGACACTTAAATTGAGTTATATTAGAGTGAGTTAAATTAATTAAGTATTAACAATGAGCTTACCGGCACATACTTAGCACTTGTTTTTAGCACCTCGCAAGAAATACTGTCCATTACTGGATAATGGCAGTGTTAACATATGATATTCACATTAAATTTATGTTTTTGTTTCCAGAATAAATAAACGATATTTGTGATAAGTTCATGAGCCCAGACTATAGCTAGTGATTCAAGCTCGGTTGTAAAATAATTTTTTTCAAAAACAAAAATTTGTATCCACACGACTAGACAGAGAAATGGTTAGCACCACTCGAGTAGGATCACAGTTTTAAGTACAATTATGTTAAATCTCATCAAACGTCGCTTATTCGGATGCCTGGGAAGAGAGGGTATAAAAAGGAATGTGGCTAAATACGCCGTTTTTTAGAACCGCATGGGTGGTAGTGACTGAAACGAATATTTACACGTATACATCACTGCTTGACTTGAAATTTTTTAAGTTGGTCCCAAAAATGGTGGAGCTAATCAATGCCTTTTGGACATTTTAGTCACACTCCCCTTTATACCCTCCCTGTCTGGAGTCTCGGTATCTTTCGCCCTATAAGCGTGTTCAAGCTGGAGAGGAAATCGACTACTGGGGTAAACACGGAGGTATTGTTCTCCCAGTAGAAACTGTAATAAATATATTTATTCTTATGCTGACTTGACTCGCTCTGGTTAATTGTGTTAACCTCGGCCCTTGGATCGTTGACACAACTGCTCAGCATCTCGGATCTTCGTGATTGGCTATCTATGTACCGCAATTTAAGTCGTGAGCTCTCTTAGCTTCGTATTTTGGTATTTTCAAGTAATCGAGTTCAGGTCCAAGAGGTAGACGTAAAGCTTTGGGACCATCCAAGCTTTTTATACCTTCGTTGTTTTATTTTGATGAAAGGTTTTCGACTTTTTGGGTGAACGTACTATACCGTCAGTTCAGCATAATTTATACAAATAACCTGCTTGGCTTTTAAAGTTAAATTAAAATTGGTACAATAAATGATCAATTAATATTTACTCAAATAGAAAAGGACTAATAAAATAAAATTCATATTAATATTCTAAAATGTGCCACACCTTTATATGAAACAAAATTCATATTAGTATTCTAAAATGTGTTACATGTAATATGAAATCTTGATACAACTTTTTCCTTTACAAATATCTGTACAATCTATACAACTACTTTTATCTCATTTGTTTTTGCAGTAAATTCGTGTCAAAAGTAATTAACGAAAATAAAATATCAAAATCTTGTTTCAGATTTTCTAAATTTTTTAAAAATACGTAATGGATTATGAAAATTGAACAGTACTTCATAGTTAATTAATAACTTTAATTTCATTTTCAAATGCATACAGTTAGTAGTATAAAGGTCATTAGATTGTGAAATTCTATTATTTATGACTATTACATTCTCAGTAACTTTCTATTTTAAGTGACTTTGTCAAATTCTTGCTTAACACTTGTCGAGACACTCTGTAGTTATAATTTTCGATTTCAGGATATTTTTGACAAAGGTATATGTAAGCACTGGTTAGTCTACTAATATTTTCAATAGATAAATTGTAAGCTTGGGTTTTTATATCTACATCAGCCAATGTGTACATTAAAGTGGAAAGCTCATCTTGTAAATCTGGTGGAAACATGGTCCTGTAAAAAAATAATTAATATATTATAAATGTAGTATTTCAAAGCAATTGTTAAAAATAACTCTTAATAAAATCACTTTGATGTTTAAAATTAAGAATGTCTAATACTTATAGGTTTTTCTGATAGCTATTATTAAAACTTTAAATGTATATTTGTTATTCTATAAGGTCGTTCCATTCAAAATTTCAGTTTCTCTGTACCGTTTTCCATACATTTAGATGAAAAAAAAAAAAAAAAAAAAAATATATTTAACATTTAACCAAATAAAAGAATCAAAAAATTGCATTCATGAGGGAATGGTCTATAAAAATCTCCCAATTATTTTTGTCAACTGGAACACTATGAGATAAACGGTATATTGAATTTTTAAACGGATCCACAAGTTGACTATTTAATATAATATGAAAGATGAGATCAGAAATGCAGAAACTCATATGAGTAGGTCTATCCATACCAACAAAACAATTAACATTATTGCTGCATTTTTGCGCTTCCCTCACCTCTCAGAACTTTCTCCTTTACTGAAATGAACGTCCTTAAATAAGCTAATTTAGTCATGAATACCAGTATTACATAAATTATATTTTAAATAGACTCATCATACACTTAGATTTTTTAATTTTTTATCAGAAGAACTTGAGACGAAGTAACCAAAAATATTTTGGGGGCAGCTGTAGGCGGCTCTGACTAGATTTGAAAGACTACGGCTTAGCTTAGAAGTACTCGAGGATATTTGTAAGATACTTGCTTGATAACCAGGAACCACAATTATCATGGGATACTGTGGGGGAGGGGGGTTCAGAAGACTACGGTTTTTCTTAAAAGTACTCATAAAGGATGGTTAAGAAGCAAGCAAATGCTTAACAAAATATAAAATTTAATAACAGAATAATCACTAAACCAAATTATTTAAGTTATTGGGAAGAGCTGTAGAGGAGAAAGAGGGGTTGAAAAGCTGAACCGTTTGAAATGATGGAAAAATCTAACAAATTTCGTCTTAATTCATCTTATAAAAAATTTTTTTTTAAAAAAAGCAGATTTTACCATCAGAAAAGAGCAGGGAATAATTTATTGATTAATTTATATTTATATTTTTTCTAACTATTTTTCATTCCTTACAATCGAGTTGAATAGAGCACATTTTACTTCACCAGAAAACAGTAGGTACTTAGGTATTCAAGTATAGAATTATGCTTCTTTAGTGGACAATACATGAGTGTAGACATATTTTTTCATAATATTTTAAATAACCTTAGCCTTGTATGATGTATTAAAAGTTATGTCATCATCCTTGGACTCAACATATTTAGTAATATGGTGAAATTTTGAAAAGAATTTGAATATTAAATGAACAATTACAAGATTGCGCAAAAAAGAGAAAAAAACAGAGTCCAGCCATGGCACGACGCAGGCGACTCATATTTTTTTTTTTTTTTTTTTTTTTTTTTTTTATAACATATGATGTAATTGCAACTCGAAAAATGCACGCACACACACACAGATGGATGTACACTAGCGTCACATTCACATTCCGTGCACACAGCGAGACTCCGAGAAAATAGTTCGAGGCCGCGTGTTACACTGTAAGCACGTCTCCCACAAACTCTAATAAACCATACTTATAAATATATAACACGAGGCTAGTTATTCACCTTGCGGCCCTTTCCCACTTCCCAGACTTCTGTCGTCACATACAACAGTATCAATATATATTTACGTACATACATACATAAATACATATATACATATAAAAGTAATTCATGGAAGGTGACTTATGCCGACTCAACGTGCTTTTAATATACAATCTAATAACATTGAAAAGATTTGCAGATTATCCACATTAGTTAGATTTTGTGCTTATAAAAAACTATGATTAGTTAATTAATGTCATATATTAATATTTCCAACAATATCTACATAAATTAAGTTTGGTCAACGCACACGCACGCATACGCCCTCTTCTATCCCTTTTCCCTAACAGTTTGATAATCCAATAACCAGATAATCCAATAAGTTTCCCTGATAATTTTTAAAAAACTCCCCTTAGCAACCCTTCAGTCGCATTTCTAAATAAAGGAAAATTATATCGGTTATTATCTCATTTTCAGTTAAAGTATTTTTTGCACCCCCTTACTCTCATTTGGATGTTATGTACACGCATGACCATGGAAAATTATTTCTGCATTATTTTAATTATATACTAAATGTAATATAATTTTTCCCATGATTTCCACTGATTTTATGAAAGTACATCGAAAACATCTAAAATTCAGGTTATATTTTTACAAATTCGACGTCTCTCTTTTTGTGCGCCAAGATAATTTTATCTCCTCTAGAAAACCTGTAAAACTCGTTATTTTTTCTCTATCTTTCTGCCTTTTAACAATACGTCGTATTTTTTAGTATTGAAAGGTTATGTCATATTATAAAAAGACGCTTAATTAATACTGACTGTCTGCATCGATCTGCCGTGCATGCAAAATATTTTTTGTAATATACTTCATTAAAATAATAGTATTAAATAGTGTATACGGCATCAACATTAACTACTATTTTGCATACACACGTGCACGCTTCTTACTTCTTACTTCTGTGGTGCATTACATGTTTTATCCACATAATTTATTAGCACATTTCCACACTATCTTTGAGGTAGTGCTATGGCGCGCTGGTTTTTTTTTAAATTTTTCATAAGTTTATTAATTGCATTTTTTAAATGTAGAAGTACATAACATTATATTTTTTCAGATTTTCTAAATTTTTTAAAAATACGTAATGGATTATGAAAATTGAACAGTACTTCATAGTTAATTAATAACTTTAATTTCATTTTCAAATGCATACAGTTAGTAGTATAAAGGTCATTAGATTGTGAAATTCTATTATTTATGACTATTACATTCTCAGTAACTTTCTATTTTAAGTGACTTTGTCAAATTCTTGCTTAACACTTGTCGAGACACTCTGTAGTTATAATTTTCGATTTCAGGATATTTTTGACAAAGGTATATGTAAGCACTGGTTAGTCTACTAATATTTTCAATAGATAAATTGTAAGCTTGGGTTTTTATATCTACATCAGCCAATGTGTACATTAAAGTGGAAAGCTCATCTTGTAAATCTGGTGGAAACATGGTCCTGTAAAAAAATAATTAATATATTATAAATGTAGTATTTCAAAGCAATTGTTAAAAATAACTCTTNCATTTATTTATTATATTGAATAAACTGTGCAATAATATTACATACAAATTTATGCTTTTGCAAATATATAAGAATTAAATTATTGTTACCTACAGTAGATTAGTAAACGTCAAAAACTTTTTCCAAACAATATTGTCTATCTCTAAATTATTCTCCCGTTCTATTTGAATATAAATTTCGTTTTCTTTCTGCATTTTGACAACACAAAGTATAATAGATCATTTGAAATCAGTGGTTTTTTCAAATATAACAGTTGTTTCAATTTTAAAATTAAGCTCATACAGAGGTAAGATTTTACAAAAATTATTCAGAAATTCAATTGAAAAATTTATATAAATATTACTATCAAATTTATCAACATCTTTCCAAGTAGCATAATCTATGCTGTAAAATGTTTTCGTTTCTCCTTTTACATGGTTAAGAATTTTATTATTCAAAAAGTAAGTATATTTCTTATGACAAGTAAGAAAAACAGTATTGATTAAAAAATAAATACCTTTTTTGAAAATATTAAAACAAACAACAGTGGTTTTCCATTTATTTAGCATTTGCAACGATTAAATTTTCCATTCTCCAGTAACTAAAATGAATTTCGTAAATGTTTTGTGAATTAAGCGAATAATAATATCAAGTTTTAGAATACGAGATAATGACTAAAAATATGATGATTTAATACTTTATTGTATAAGTATGATTTCATTACTATTTTCCAATCTGTCTATAATATCCTCCTATCAGAACGTTTGGTCCCAAGCTCTGCCGCCTGCAGCGCTGCTGCAGAAGAGCCATCATGGCGTCTAAAATATGAATAGGTATTATTTTTACTGTTTTTAAACTTAATAATGACTGTCACTTTACGTCATTGTTTACATATACATTGTACATAAGTCAAGGCTGCTCAGCAATTAGCAATGAAGCTGAAACTAGCAGACAAATTCCAGCAGCGATACCGTAAAATAACAAATTCTACTTCGGGTACCCTTAAAACTAAAACAGGTAACTCATTATTTTACTAAATTAGAAAGGTACCTGGTCTAGTTTTAAAGGTACCCTTAGTAAAATTTGTTATTTTACGATATCGCTGCCGGAATTCGTCTGCTAGTTTCAGCTTCATCAATTAGCATACAGTCATAAGGTATATGACTGTATCTGTACATTCTGTACACATATATTTTCAATACAAGAATGGTAGGTATGCATTTTAAGATCTATGTATACTGTAACTTCAGCAGCTAAATGTTCGAGATTTTTAAATTGCCTAACACGCCAACTCTTTTGCACCGTCCTCGATCTCTACTACTCCTATATATCCACACAAACAGCACTAAAAGGGAAAAGCATTTGACGTTTCTTATCGCTTTCGAGAAGGAACTGTTTCAAAGAAGTCACACTCGCATGTAGTGCACCTTTATTGCTCTAGATAAAAATTTCCGTGAAAACCCGGACGCTGCAAACACGCCTACTTACGGAAAAATCCCAAGATATAACAGCTCATCAGCTATTGGTGCCCTCCTTACTCTTGTACTGGAACAAACAACCCCATGCCACTACCACCGTGTACAACTAAACAGCCTCTCCTTCCTCTTTCCCTCCCACTCTCAATGATATGAACAGTACGTTGAAAACACGTTTATTCAGAAACATAAATAAACAACATAAGAATGATTACTGATAACACTTAAACTTGGGTTGATGAACAAGGCTCACAACATTAGTATCATCAATACTAATGTTGTTACTACATTTATGAATATTATTATCATTATTATTATTATCATTATTATTATTTTTATTATTATATTTAAAAATAAAGCATCCAATAACAGCGAGAAAAGTAGATCAAATAAAAAGTAAGTCAAGGGCTATGCTGCCCATATATCTATTAATGTCTAGGTAACGACGTTTCCACTACTTGATAGGTAGTTCTTTTCAAGTCACTACAATAAAATAAAATAATTTAAAATAAAACAAAGTTTTTGAAGTCATGGCAACTAATATACACATATATAATGGACCAAGTTATGTAATTAAAAACATATGTGTGTGTGTGCGTGTGCGTGCGTGCGTGTATGTCTCTAAAATGACCGTTTGTTTAACGCATGAATGAGCGATGAGTTTGCTTTAATTTTTATAGGTATACGTCTGCTGACAAAACGACAAGTGTACCACATATGTGCCCAGAAACAAAAATGAAGCAAAGGAGTATACGGTGCAGTGATTTCTATTGTAGCACGTGCAGCTATATATCCTAATTGCTACGCCACCCTAATGTAGGGCACGATTTAAAATTTTTACTCTGCGCATTTATGTAAGTGTCTGACAATACATGCTCTGACGCTGTAATATCAACTATACTACATGCATCAATACAGTACTCATATGCTTGCTCATGTAAGGAGTTTGGTTCTGTTTATTTACTCTGCCTGGTTCTTACATGAATTTATTATGTGTTAATACGCAAGGGGCGCGGATTTCGTGTATTATGTATGGAAGTAAACATACTTAATAGTCCGTTATAGCCAAAAGTGTGTACTTGAATACCGAGCAGAAAACGAATGCTGCGCACTGCAGCTATATTCACTGTTACGTGCAGTCTGTCGCATACAACTCCAATCCTACAGCTAGAGTCTCTCTGACTTGATTTAATAGTGAGAGTTTTACTCTCACACTGTGTACTGACACACGCCTATGTCTATAGGCATCTACAAGTAATCCGCCAACACTGGTTTTCCTGAAGTATTGGTGTCTGTACTTTCTTTTTTCATTTACTACGGTTATACATCCCTAAAAATTTTTTTGCTGCGACCGAATACGGCTAATACGGTAGATAAGATTGGTACACCCATGTAAGTGTCCTGTAAGCGCAACACGCAATTAATGTGGCTATGAATTATGAATTAGGCAAGGGCAAATTATAATAAATTTCGAATTTTTAGTAAATTTCCAGACTTAAAGATTTTTTAATTTTGAGAGTTCCCTTTTACGCAAAGATGATCAAATTGACGAATTGTTTGTTGATTTATGCTTTCAAATTATTGATTTAATTTTCCAATAGTTCAGTATTTAATTTGTGCAAATGATAGCAATTTTGTACATAATCATTAATTAATTTCAATCTTTTTTCTAGGATATTTTTCTCTCTTTTAAGCTTCTACACAATCATCTTCTTTCCTTTTCTCTTATTTTTCTTATTACTCGCAAAATTTTGAGTCAAAAATTTCATTCTATATCGTTTTATGAAAATAAATTAATTATTCGTGTGTATATAAGTGAAATAATCAGATTATATTAAACTCTTACTCCATCTTTAACAATTTTTTTTCTACAACTAACAATATTAAGTGCGAATATGTTTGTGTATATTTATTTGTTATTTTGGTACATAACTCTAAATAGCAGATCGAGGGTAAAGAGTGTCCGCTATTTCAGCAGGACTAATACTGATGAACCGCTCTGATTAGCAGATTCAGGATAGGAATAGAAAGACCACTCTGGTTAGCAGATCTTGGGTATAGAATGTGCGCTACTCAAGCAGGTCTAAAGGGATGAACGGCTTTGGTTAGCAGGTTCAGGAGTGGAATAGTGTATTCGTTCTGTCTCATAAGTGTGTATCTCTGTGTGTAGTATAACAGATCACTAGTTTTTATTTTTTTACTATTATTTAATACAATATCATCTAGTTTTTCTTTTTTTTCATTTTATACAACAATAAACTTTTTTTGTTTATGTCACCGTTAGTTTATTAATGTATTATTATTTATTTTGTTATTTTTTTTTAATTATAACGAAATACTGCATATAATATGCCCTCAGCAAAGGCACAGCATATACACGTCCGTGCACATTGCACTATATGAAGTATTACACGGCATTTATGAACATGCTTCTTTAATGGTGTTGGTTGTTTCTTGAAAAATAGCTCTAAGATAACGTATAATAAACAAACAAATAATTTGAGACTTAACCACTCTCTGCTACCAATTTTCGTTAAATAATCAATCTTAATCATTTAACATTATCATCCGATGAAAACTAGATGTTTGTGGATTTGGTTCTCACGCTCCCTGACGGGCTGCGAGACTAGCAGACTGTCTAACTATTTGTTTTTTTGTATATTGGGGGAAAAAAAAACAGAGAGTGGTAGGCTTTGTAAAATATAAGTGTCCACGTACCTTTTGTTTCTGCAGGTTTAATTCTATATGACTCTTTAGTTTTTCTTCTTTTGATATTATTAATTTTATTTGATTTTAAGTAATGAAATACTCTGCACAATCTGATAAACTTTTTTTTTAAATTAGTTTTACAATGAGTTACAATGAATTTATCAAACGATTGTAACAACTTATCTTGCAATATTGAAATAATAATTAAGAACCATATTCGATGGGCGGTGGAAAGCTACTGACTAAAATGCCGCGCAAAGAAATGCACCTTGCGTGAAGCTTTCGTTTAAACTTCTTTGTCTTACATGCTATTAGGCTGGTACTTGCTGACTTCACGTGTTTAGATTTAGCGGCTCGCTTTGGTTGTCACTTAATACTTTCGAAAGCCATGAAGTAAGCAGTCAGTTTTGTTAGGTGACGACTTTTTCAAGCATAACTCTTTTAAGTCTCTTAAAATTTTATCATTGAGGGAATAAGTATAATATTAAAGAGAATTAAATAAAAATGTATTTATTTACGCAAATCGTCCACTTAACACAACTGATTACTGTGCTCGCATAAGGTCCACGTATCTGCCTCTTTAGGGGTGTAGGAAATAGATAAAAATAAATATATATACACGTATAGATCTTTCTACATAATATAATGTTTCTTCACTGTCCTCCTCCGCAAAATAAGGAAAAATTCGATCTCTTCCTCTGTTATTTCAATCTTATGTAATCATACCTAGAGTCCACCAATCCCTGCTAAATTACTGTATAATTTATAGCC